CAAGATAAAGGATCTCTTTTGATAAACACCGAAGCTATTAGTAGGTAATCTATGCAGTGCTAAATATGTAATTGCATTTTTCTATTGGAGCAATAATTTTTTTCAAACTGTATTTGGCATGAAGATACAACCTTCACATCTCAATAGGTTAATTATAAACTAAGAAAATCGGCACAGAGCAGCATTCTGTACAACTAATTTTCAGCCTTTTTTTTTTGTGTGTGTGATATGGGGGATTGAACTCAGGACCTTGAGCTTGCCACACAGATGTTTATGCTGATGAGCTATATCCCCGACCCCATGTACACTTAATTTTTAAGGCAATCCAATATAGTATGAATATGAGACAAAAATAATTTCCATCTTAAACATGTTAAATAAAATGTGAGAAATGGAGAAACCATTGGTAATGGGACATAATTATTCTGTTACTTATAATTCTTCTGGAGTAAATTCAAATGCATGAATTTTAAATCTAAGAGTAGTTTAAAAATCTGATTTTTAAAACTATAGTCTAAGTGGTTTCATAATTTAAAACAATGACTTCAAACATCTTACCTGTCTGTCAAAAGAATGAGGTTAAGGAAGCCAAAAGAGGCCACGCTGACCTTGTCATCTGAAGAATGAGACAACTGCAAACTCTCTCTTGTGGTGAGGAAGAGACGCTGAAGTGTCACTGAACACAGCACCCATGGGAGGCTGCGGTGCTGTCCTAAGTGGGTCAGGACAACAGGGGTGCCTGGGGCGCTTCTCCCCGTCCCTGCACCTGTTAACTCTGCATTCTCATCCTCTATTTTTTTTTTTTTTTTTATTTTACCTTTTTTTTTTTGGGAACCAGGGATTGAACTCGGGCTCTTGCGCTTGCTCATCCTCTAACAAGGTGGGCTTTCCTTGCAGTAAAGGTCCTGGCTTACATTTACAACAGTAAAGGAAGATGCACCTTAGGAATCAGTAACTGATCCTAAACCAAGTCATAGCATTAGAATTACTTTCAAAAAAATATTCCGCAGAGTTTACAGTATGAATGCAAATGTTTGACTCCAAACATTTGTAATTTTGTAAGAGACAAGAAGGTTACTTTTCATAAATCGATGTAAAAGCCTCAGTGCTCTGCCCTCATGATGACAGTCAGTGGGACGGCACGACCCCGAGGACGCCGGCCAGCCTCCCGTGTCCCCTTCCCTGCTGGCGGAGGTGGCATATTCCAGTGCTCAGGTGTGTGGAGTAAGAAAGCAAAAACGACTATATCAAGCACAAATGTCAACATCTCTTTGGGGACATTCCAGGCCTACTTGGACATTTTTCTCAGCTTACAGGAGGAGTTACAATGCTCTAAGTAATAAGGCTTTAAATATATCTTAAAAATGAAGTTAATAGTTTGAAAAAATACTGGAAGGATAAGTGAGAAAGAGAACTAAAACTATAGCTTTAATCATATTGTAAAAATTTCACTTATTTTGTAACATATTAAAATAATCTTATTTTACAGAAAGCTCTACAAATCTTTCAGACTTGGAATGTTTTTAATGTAATACTACCATGACTGTGTCAATGGCATTTTGCATCATTAATTCAAACTATGTTCAGAAACATCTTGTATGACACCACAATGATATTCTAATCTTTTTGTGAAGCACATTTTCTTAAAAAATCCACGAACAGATGTAACAGTATATTGTCTTCAAACAGTGCTCAGTAGAGCTGCAATCCTGTGCAAAGCCCCTCGTGGACCACCACGAGGGCAAGGCGGAGGCAGAGGAGACGGCTGGCTGCGGACCCCGCCCCCATTCCTTCACTCTTCAACTAGAGGAGCTCGCTTTCATCAATTACGTCTATTGCTGTTCAGGCAAAGCTGTTAGGAGAGTGGGTTTGGCTCTACAATTTTTTTTTGCTTGAAAACTACTCTTGCAGTTGAAAACTTCACTGTCTTATATGCTAAGTCGAATAATATGATCTACATACAAACAGACACCAAACACATAGAAAATAGACTAAAATCAACACATCTTAAGTAGGTAAAGAAAAAGCCCAAATGGATCAGCTATGGCTGTCCCAGCTGCAGTTAGAGCCAGGAGGACATGCTAGCAGAACTGGTGGCCTAAAGGTTGAATCTAGCCTACTGCCTTTTGGGGGCTGGGGCTAGTGCTAGGAACTGAGCACATGTCCCTGCTATGCTACCCAAGTGCTTTTTAGCACTGAGCTTCATCCTCAGCCATAGGCTGGCTTTAACAGCAAAAAACCACAACTTCCACTGAATATGACAAACCCCAGCTGATTCTGACGAGGAGCGGAAGTGCAGACCAACAATACCATAAGGGGACTATGGCTCTCGACACATTAAAAACCGGACAGTCCTCAAAGGATTGGGACTGCAAGAGACTTAAAAAAAGAAAAGAAAAGAAAAGAAAAAGCTCAGTTGCAGAGAATCTTGTGTCATTTTGTCTATTTTTTCCTCTCCTTAAAAAGACTTTTGTTCTCCTTGTACCAGTATTGGGCTCATTTGAAAACTCTCTGAAAGTTTCCTCCAGACCCAGTCTGTGGCCCCCTCCACCAGGTTCTTTCAGGGACCCTCACTGAAGGAATCTGTTTGGAATGGGGCACCAGAGGCCAAAGCCCAGTCCACCTCCTTTGGCTGTGCAGTCCTGGTATCTGGAATACTTCAACTAATTAAATGATTAAATGAAAGAAAACCTGGTTTCAGGAACATAAAAGCACAAAGCAACAGGTTCTTCTTTGGAATAGGCCAGTATGAGAAGACCTTCCTGGGCCTCAGATTTCTGAACAAAGGAGTGCATAACATCACAAAATAAGGATGAATTAACTCTCAACCCCTCGTTTCATTTATTTTTAATAAGAGGCAGTCATAGGGAAGTTTCTGCATTTGTAAACTAAAATAATGCATGTACTTTTGAAATGGGTTGCTTTAATTTAATTTCAACATAACTCATGAGCGCCACCTTCTGGCAAAATGGTTGAATGTGTATTTCAGCTAAAAGTGGAAATTAGGTAGCTTAAATATCAGTTTCTCTTAACGTCAGAAACACAGTATAAATGAAAAGCAAGACACAATATGCATGGAAGGAATGGGGCGATAGTTTTTTTTTGCAAAAGGGAAAGGGACTAAGAGGCAGAGAGGGGGGATAGAGGCAGAGGAGAGGGAGGGAAAGGGCAGAAAAAGAATTAAGATGAGTGATACACATGTATCAACTCCCCATGGTGACTGTAATCACTATGTATCACAAACCACAAACGTGTACCAATAAAAACAACAATGAAAAAAGTCAGATGAAACACAAAACAACTACAAGGTAGAGAAAACTACCTGCAGGTACACAGAGAGGTGCCAGCACCACATAAAGGGGCGCAGTGGGAGGGCCCATGAGGACCAGGAAGAAAACAGTCCCAGGAGGGACCTGATGCTTGCTGCCTTTCAGCACAGGAACTAGGGGTCACCTAGACAGAGGGAGCAGGGGTGTGAGCAGCCTTCCCCTGCCTGGACGCACGTGGTGGGTGGACGGTGCTCGCCTGCTGACGTGGGCGGGGCTCCTCAAGCACCAGGACAGCTGAAGGGCTCGGCACCTGGGGAGCTCTGAAAGCCCAAGGTCAGAGTGAAGGTACGCGAGCGCTCCTGAGCCCGAACGCTGGAGCAAGACAAGTCTGGTCCGCTCTCTTCCGAGCTGTGCAATCTGGGTCAAACTCCTTGCCCTGTCTTGCCTTATCTCATTTGTAATTAGGGATAATTAACACCTTAAAGGGATTAATTTGGTTAATAGATGAAAGTGCTAGAAATAGCATCAGACATACAATAAGTACTACATAAAAACGTTCACCACTGTTAGTTAAGGAAGCAAGATGCCTTGCTATGGCTATAGCGCCAATCAGAGTATATCTGCTACTCAAAGAACCAACAGCCTTGGTTTCTTTATCTATAAAATGAGGACATTTATAGTAAGGACAGAAATGACAGAGAAAAAGGTGGAGGTGGCAGCACATGTCTCCAATCCCAGCACTTAGGAGGCCGAGGGATGGTGAATTCAAAGCCAGTCTGGACTACGTAAGGACATCCTGTCTCAAAAAAACACACAACAAGTAACAAAAAATCAAAACAACACACACACACACACACACACACACACACACACACAGAAATGACGAGGGATAGGGTTATGTCCGCGTAGAACAGTGGCAGGTCAGAGGTTAGCACTCGGTTATTCGCTTTCATATGATTTATTATTAGCTACAGGGATCACTGGATTATTTCATATTACTTGTATACATGTTAAGTCTAAATGCTCATGTATGTGCATGTAACATGTACATGTGGATGTGGACATGCTCCATGTCTTCAGAGATGCAGAACCCATGGAATACACTGGTGAAGAAACTGCCAGGCTGGCCCATACACAGTGATGCCTGGCTCCAGAGATGTCAGCGACACATAGCTCATGCTGAGAATCCCTAATACTTAGGCACCAGAGGTGAATCAATAGTAAGTACCATCTCAAGATAGTCTTTTTTTCTAGGAGTCCTATTATCGCTGTGTCTAGGTGTACCCCCAAAGCCTTATGCAGTCATGAGGGGGCCTTTCTAGACTGTGTGGCGCTCGGATCAAGGATGTGCGATTAGTAAATCAGTCCACTGACTGATCTGGAATAGCTCAGGCTGGGACTTCTGGTGTGAGTGCTACACCTGCCCAGGGTGGGTGGCCTTTGTACAATGAAAGGGAGAGGAAGGGGACCGCGCCCCCCTTGTTGCTTTGCCATCTTCTGCTACCATGAACTGTTGCTCCTCTGCCATGTGTCCCTGTCTTGGCGCCAGCTGATTAGGGTCTGAAACTGTTACAAATTGTGAGCCAAATAAGCCTTTCCTACCTTTAACTTTGGGTGTCAAGTGTTCTGTCTCAGCAATGAAAGAAAAGTTAACTACAACAGGTCCTTGGAGCACAGACTGGGCCTTCGCAGAGACTACACGACCTACAGATCAGAACACTGCCTACGCACCTTCTCAATGAGCTCATAGCTCTCCTCGAGCTTGAGGAGCCTGTTCTGCACAGAGGTGGACGCTCGCTGGTAGACGGCTCGCCACTCCTGGAAGTCACTCTCAGAAATCTCAGCCACAGCAAAACATAACGTCCTCAGACCTGCAGAATGCAACACACACCTCTCAGCATGCTGAAGGTTTTAGTCATACATCTGGCATTTCATTATTTAACAAACAATAAATCAGTCCTTGAAAGGACTGATGCAATTTAAATACCATGCTCAAGTCTAATTCAATTATCACAATACTTCTGTATAAAATATCTATTAATGTTCCCTTAGTTTTTAAAGTTGGCACTCTGCTTCTAATTCTCAGACACTTTAATCCATTCTCTTATCCACTTGGGGTGATTTCTCCAAAATGTTATCCTCTCAAGCTTTTCCTTTTTTTTTTTTGGTTGAAATCCTCCAACTGAACCTCAGGATGTAACCCCAATCCCAAAGTATGGCTAAAACATATTTCATCAACTGCCTTCAACTTCAGGATGGCAAGTAATGCTCACCTTTTTCCATTCCACGTTCCCAAACTCCCTTCTACTGTCTGCCTTATATCTACTCTAAAACTAGTTTTTAAAACAATCGTCCTTATAATGCATCTTCTGAGAAAAAAAAGCATCCTTTGCTGTACTACTCTCCAGGTAAAAACCCCCAAACATTCCTATGTGAACAGCAGTCTTTCACATGGCTTTTCCTGTGGGTCTTCTCTATTAAATCAAAGCTCCAGGGAACTGGGGACACAGAGCTCTCTGTACTATTATAAATTTATAGTAAAAAGCTAAGTACAGTTGCAGGACAGCAACAGAGAAGCACAGCCCTCAGGCATGGCCTGAGAAAAGTGACACATTTGATGGAGGCGGCTCCGGCACCCCGCGAGCTCAGTCCTCATCAGTTTCAATCCCTCAGCCAGGAAAAGCAGATGAGTTGGAAGAAGGAAGAGGCAAAAGCATTTGTCAGCCACACAAGGAAGCAGTGCTTCTGGTTCCCAGGAAAACAACACCCTCGGGCAAGACCTTTTAACACAAGTACAGTGACCAGGACCAGGCACTAAGCCTTATGACCTCAAGTCACATAAAATAATGTTCAGGGGGATACCTCAGAAGCAAGAAGCCAAGAAGCCAGGACAGAAATACCCTGGGAACTCTAGCTTCTGAGAAAGGAGCTTCTTTACTGCTGGGTCACTGAGATGGGAATTAAATCTGTGGGCCCATGTCAGACATGCCCTTCTCTTCTGGAACTTGACTGGCAAACTTCTTTGAGGGTAGCCACAGAGTACAAGAGTCACTCCATCCAGACCAAGAAGAATGGCAGTTCAGACATGAGAGCCAGAATCCCTGTGAACACTGTAACCAGAAGGAGGAAAGTGCCCTAGTCCAGACCAGACCAGACCAGACCAGACCAGACCAGACCAGACCAGACCAGACCAGACCAGACCAGACCAGACTGGACTCAAACTGAACATGTGCTGTACAGCGGGTGGGCCCAAACTGCCAAGCCCAGCTTGCCGAGTTGAACTCTGCCTATATGCGTTCTTACATTTTGAACAGCTGGGAGAACGTTCTTTGCATCCTTGGTTTTCAAGGCCTCTCTCCCCCTTTATTCCTATTTGCCTGATTTTTTTTAAGTTCCTATCTTTACAAAGCCTGGATTCAGAAGGAAATAAAGATTGATTAGAGGTTAGGTGTGGGCCATTAGCAACTGTTCTAGCTGAAACAGACAGTAAATCCTGAGATGGAAGATGCAGATACAGCTATGAGCGCTGTAGTCAAGGTCAAGGATAGGACTCTAAAACTTCTTCTGAGCCCTCTGTCTAACAACCCTCACTTGGGTTCTTCTCATTCACATCATCTCCTTGGACTGCGTCCTGAGCAGCTCACACATCGTGGATCTCAGGAGAGACTGGGCTAAGCCCATCTACCGCAGTGGGAGGCCTCACACAGAGCCTGGCACAGCGCAGGCACTTAATAAAACACGCTGAGTTGTAACTAAGTTTACCACTTATTTTAATAGTCATACAGGTTTAATTATTTCTTCTTTTCCTTATTCAGTTTAGAACATCATCTCAGTTCTTTTGAGTCTTGCTTCTTTCCTAACAAAACACTCAGATGTAAGGTCAAGTGCATCATCATGAACTAAGTTGTCTTCATTCTAAGAAATAAAACAGCTTTGTAGACACGACCATCTGACACATGGACAAAGAGATCAAGAGCATTTTAATAAAGACAGTTTTAGGAAGCTAAAATAAAGGTACTACTTGGGAACAGGACATAGTAAAATCCTAGTTATTAACAGTAACTGATACTTTAGGAATCTCTAAATAAAACAAACAGCAGCTCTGTAAGATATTAAAAGCATATAGCTGCCTTATATCTTAATCATGTTTTACTTTTACAGAATACTCACCTTCTGTAGCAAACTGCTCCAAATGTTTTAGGGTAATTTCTTTGTATTTTGAAGTTTCTGCAAGTCGTTCATAAATTACAGTATCCTGGAAAACAAGCAAAAGGTAGGATGTAATTTAATTAGCCTTTGAGTTTACTAAAGTTGAGAGTGGCAACAATATTAGAGGGAAATCAATATAAAAAGAGCCAATCTCTTTTCATGTTCTTTTTTAAACACAGAATATTGCACTGCCGAGTAACACTGACTCCCTAAAGACCCGGAGAAGTGCAGCGAGACCCCTGCATCTGCAGGTCCTGCGTCCTGCAGTCAACCCAGCACAGAGAGCCAAGGCAGCCAGGCTCAGGAAAGCTTTGTCGGTACTGAAAATGTCCAGACCTTTGTCCTTGCTATCATGCCCTAAGTGATACAATGCTACATGAGGATTATTTAAAAAAATACTTAAATCATATTACCAGGTATTAAGTTGATCTAGAGAGGATACAGGATAAGTGCAGCTCTACGTAAATATTCTGCCCTTCTATGTACAGGACGTTAAGATGCACAGATTTTGGCATCTGTGGCAGTCCTGGAAGCAGCTCCCGTGGACACCGAGGGCAGGTTCCCACCTGGCATCTTCACCTTCTTTTGGAAGCTCTCTCTCATCACTCCAATGTTCAAAGCCTCACAGTCTACCAACACCTCACTTTCTGCTTACTCTGAGATTCTGCCGAACTGGGGAGTTTAGGGAGCACTGGACTGAACAAAGCTAAGAAGCCTGGCCTGCTGAACTTCTGAGGGCCTTTAGAATGGTGGTACCCACAGCAGACCTCCAGGGATGTGTCCCAAGTGCATTTTACCACAGGACCTCGTGAAGGCTGAAGGAACCTCGCAGTTGGTGCTGACCGAACAGCAAACGTGAGTATCACAGGCCTAGTAAACCCACTAAGAGAATCAGTGGGTACAGTGGAGAACTCTGGCCTAGCCATCAACTAACTTAAACAGCAAATATTTTTAATTGTGCCACTTCAGCTTTAAGACTGTTTGCAAAATAAAATTACAAGGTTATTTTTAAAGAATCTTTTAGCTTTAGTTTTAAGCACTTTTTTTTTTCCTCTCTAGTTCTTGCTACTTTATAAATCGACTATTGTTCTCCTAGTTATTTTCTGGCTTTGGTTTAATGTTTTTAAGAATTTTAGTATTCAGCCTTCACAGTTTTATTATACCAGGAAAAAATAAATCATTTACCTGCAATTACTTTCTCAGTGGTATTACCCATTTTGGGGTCTCCGGTCTCAGGACTGAGATTTCAAAACAGACTAATGGAGTATGATTTAGAACCCTTGAGAGAAACAGAACTTAGTGACCTCAAAACAGATGGAATATTCCAGGCTCCAATTATGAACTTCATTTCGTTTTTCAGTGGTGGAATGGGAATGGGGCAAGGCAAAAGGAAATGATCATTTCTCCTCATGGCTCCTTCCTGGGAAGGAGAGGTATAACTTATGGAGTCTTTTTTCCCAGAGGTTGACAAAATTTTCAATGATATTAATACAAGCCATTTTCAAGTGAAGAAAATATTTAAAAAATTACAACCAGAAAAGCAAAAGCGATTAAGTAACAAAGTTAGGGATATTAACTACTGAAGTGTATCCAAACATTCTAGGGTTGGAAATTGATGTTAGAATAAAAGACGATTAATTTTCTACCTTCTTTGTACAGTTGAAAAAAATAAGGGCCAGAAGGTGGCACATTAAACGTGTATTAAATCTGTTGTGTTTTTAACCGACAGTCACAATTGGTCGGTCACGTCTTCATAAATAATTAAGCATTCAGTCACTTTAGACATGTACCATCCCTTCAGTCAGAGGGCTATATCGAGTATTTGTGCAGGACAGGGTGCTAACAAATGTTTCTTCCCAGACACTAAACCATGCACATGCCACAGGATCAGACTTAGAATCTCCTGAGTGTGGGGCTGTGGAAGTCCTCACTGGATTTAGTTATCTTGTGATTTGTTCCCTACGAAGGTGAAGGAAAATCATCAGGCTTCAGCAAGCACAATCCAGTTAGTCACTGTGTAAACACTCTAGGGCTTTGGGGAAAGTCAAATCCATGGTTAAAATTTCATCTTTAGTAGATTTTTGTTCAAAAAGGTGTTGGCCTGTTTGTCTTTTAGAATAAAGTTCAAATACTGCTCTGTCCTCATAATATATAGTAAATGTTATTTATTAAAAAGATAAAATTTTTGATGCAACCTACAATCATCTTGAAATGTCACCTGCATGGTAAATAAAGATGGCACCATAAAATACAAGTGTCAACTGTAAGAAAGCCATAGTCAAAAACAAATTGGTCTTATATACAGTATCTGGTACAAATACTATTCTATTTAATATTAAAATTATCTCGATAATCTCACTATTGTGAAAATAATTCTGCAAAATGGAATCATTCCTGTTACACTCTGCTAAAATAGAGTGGGACTACACAGGGAAAAACAGCACAGGTCAGAGATGCCTGTTCCAGGAGCTTTCTCTTAAAGCCAAAGCACTGAAACAACCTGATAGGATGCTAAGCCTACTGTATTTTACTCAGCAGTTGACAGTGGAGCAGCCGCTGTGTCCTGAAGACTAGCTTTGCCCAGCAGTCCGGTGTCACCTGCCACTCAGAGCCTGACAGCTCCTCAACTCACTGCAATTCTCAGTTAAACTTTTTCCCCAGATAACTTGTGCTAATTTTGCTATCCTGAGACCCCAACCTTCCTTTTTCGTTTTCTGGACCTATCAGAGGCCACTGGGACCTATGCACGAGTGGCTTAAGTTGCAGTTCTGTTTGGTGTTCTGGTTCCAAGTAAAAATTCTTTTTGGAGATTCATCTTTGGAGTTTGGTTTGATTTTGACATGATAAATTAGCAGCAGTGACATTAAGGACCCTGAACTGGCTGCTAGGTTAAGCAACAAGGGGAGGCTGACCTGCTGTGAGACACTTGGGCCCCTGGGATCCGGGATGCTTGCAAAGACACGAAGACACGCCCACATGAAATGCACACAGACTTTGTGCTTATGTGTGACACTCATAATTATGTGTATTTTGTGTCTGCTGCCTTTTCTCTGCTTATTAAAAGCAACTAATTTCAGATGAGTCCTTTTATGTATGGCAGAGTTTTATTTAAGAGACCCTTATTTGAAATTCAGCCACTTTAAGGTTCCTAAAGTATTAAGTTGATTAACTGAGTTTCTAATTTTTCTATTTTAGAGGAGAATTCTTGCTCTCTTGAATAAATTAAAATTTTATGTGCACATGTAGCTTTTTGTAAGTTGGCTACTATTACAGATATAAATTGCATATTGTATACTCTTCTTTTGTTTATTTAAAAACTAACAAAACAAGGGCCAGCCAAATAGCTCAGCTGATTAAGCTGCCCTGCAGGCCCTGCCCCTGGGGCATGCTGAGAGAGCAATTGAGACTGGGTGTGGTGGTGCACACCTGTAATCCCAGCTCTTGGGAGGCTGTAAACAGACAGATCACTATGAGTCTGATCTAGTAATGAGACTCTGAACACCCTGTAGACCCTTCCCAAAAATACAAAAAGAAATGATTTCATTACAGAAAGTCTAGAAAAAAACAGGAAAAGCAAATCATCCCTAAACACACACACACACACACACACACACACACACACACACAGAGTTAATACGTTTTTATAATGTACTATCTCCTACCCCTCCAACTGTGTCCAACTTGAGGTTTATTCCATTTACTGATTCTTATAAAACAATTTATGACTTTAAATTTACCTTCCATAGATCTCCATTTTCCCTCATTTCTTTTTTTATTAAAAATAATTTGAGGGGGCCAGGGAGATAGCTCAGTAGAATAACTGCTTGCCTGGCAACCACAGGGTCCTGAGTAAAATCCTTGCTACCACAAAAAAAAAAAAAGTTTGAATTTCTTCATCACTGAACTTCAAGTGTCCCCAGTCATTGCACAGCTCTACATGAATGAGTCCCTGTTCCAGCTGTCGATGCACTCAGACACCCCTCAACTCAGGACTGCACATGCACCTCAGTGTTACTCCTGCTGCCCTCTTTGTACATGTGCCAATCCAGGGGTTTTGGATGGCCCAAGCTGAGGCTGGTGCAAGCTTTCCTCAGGCTTTCTCATGATGGCGGATGATCAGCAGTGTCCTTGGCATCATTATAGGGAGGTTGGCTCCCCTCTTGTTGTACACCAGTACTATGTGCCCTTTGGCCCCACAGAAGCCATTTTTAACCAGTGCTCCTTGATTTAAACCCTGAAACCTGGAACTCACACCCAGATCAAGACTTCATTTCAACAAATCATGCATATTTTCTATTCAATAAATCATGCATATTTTCTATTTCTATTTTGGGCTGCAAAGACATTTATCTTGTTTTTGAGCCTAGGTTTATCTAGTTTCTCTTTACACTCAAGATATCTATCATTGCTCCGGCTTTGGAGTAGGGGGGACATATCACAGGAACACATTACACTATCTTGACTGGAATGTGTTCTGTTTTTTTTTTTAATGGGGGAGGAAATTTTGGAATCTTTTTTGAAATCTTTTATTTTTATTAATATGTGTTTGCAGAGCATAATGATTCCATTCACTGTGACTGTGGAGAACTGGTACATGTACACAACCCACCCTAATTCTTTTTACATCCTGTTCCCCTCATCTCCTTCCCTGAATGAACCCTGATTCTCCAGGGTTTTTGTTACTCCTGGTGCTGGTGGTGATTCACTCTACCGAGGAGTGACTGGGCTCCCAGATGCAGCTGCAAATCTCAATACGCTTCGCTGGTTCTCCTCTCTATTCTGGCCCTCTCATGTATGGCAGTATTATCTTTAAACATGATCTCACCAATCCCCACTTTGAGTTCCTAGCTGCATGTGCTAAGTCCTCATGCTGCATCTGCACCCCAGACTTCCTCCTCCATAAAGCTGAGGTGATCTGCCCACCGCCTGGAGGTAGCCGCCAACTCTCTGTTGCAGTAGCTGAACTTACCCATTTTGTGCACTCCATAAGCCAAGAAGAAATCCTATATGATCCTAGCTAATCCTTTCCCTCAGCACCCACCAGCCAGCAGCCACTAAGTCCTAAATCTTTCTCCTCTATCTTTTCTACCACGGCCTGGATTTCTCCATAATCAGTTCTTGCCCCACCCGGCATCAGTGGCCTCAACAGGAGCTCCTCGTGTGTGTTCCTGTTCTCAGCCTTAAATCACTTTCCCAAATAGCAACAGAATGAGCAAGACAAAAGTACAAACTCTCCAGCGAGGAAGACAATGGCCCAACCCGCCCTCACCTTTCTGGCTCATACTCAGCTATTCCTTGCCAAATTACACACAGTTCTCATGCACTCCTTGTTGTTTTACATGTTGATTTATATTTACTACTTAATTGCATCTCACAACTAATTTGGGTGTCAAGGAAAACAATGCACTAAGCAAGTTAATGCACACACACCATCTCGAGATTATTAACAAAAGAAGTCCAATGGGTTTTTCATTTAATGCTTCAACTTGCCAAAGTATAAAGGTGGAAGACTGCTGACAATTAAAAAAGGAGGTGATTTGCATGCTGCAAACCAGACATATATCCACACTTAGAGTGCTGTGCATGCTACCACTGGATATGGAAGAGCTTCACAATGCACCCCGATATTGCATCCTGCTCTTCTCTTTCCACGCACTTCCTTGGCTAATTTTAAGCTCCTGACACATTCTAGGTCTTACCTTCATATCTCTAAACTCCAGCTCAAAGTCTGATGTTTAAAATGATCTCAGTGAATACATGTTTGATGGTTGAATTGATGGGAATACAAAAGCAAAGGAATCCTGAAACTAAGTTCATGAGACATCATGAAATAATTCTACCTAAATGCTTTTCAACTAGACAGCTAAAACTTGCATTTTAATGCAGTAAAAACAAGGCACTTCACATTTTAAATGGGAATTTAAATAGAAGACCTGGACTTCTTAGGTTTAGTTTCCAAATTTCCATGGTATAAAGCAAAGTTGTTGATTTTCTTTAAAACTGTGAGGTTTTTTTTTTTAAAATGTAGTTAGTACAGAGTCTATTGGGTCTCATTACACAGACTGGACTGGTGGTGATCCTCTTGTTTTCTGTCTCCCAAGAGCTGGGATTACAGGCGCATGCCACCATGCCCAGTCTGAATCGCTGTCCCATCGCACCCTGGGGCGTGGGGCCAGAAGGGCATGACAGGGATTGAACCCTGGTCCCTGCTAGGTAGGCACTTTAAGCCGCTGAGCTATCTGGCTGGCATTTTAAACTGAAGTTCTAAGCTGGGAAACTTATAGAATATGTATCGGGAAAGGAGAATTCAAAAGGAAAACACTGACTGATCTTAGAAAAGTGTATTTTTCATTTTTCCATAAGTGTAAATGTAGTTTAAGTAGGAAAATTCAGTTGGGACACACATTACTGCTTCTGTCAGCACTGCTTTCCAACATATTAAGGCCAAACAATGACCGGAATTTCTGTTACAATTAAAACAATCAGAGAAAGATAATAATAAACAATTGCAGTAATTGTGATTCAATTTTTCCCAATTCTATTTTTTTTTTTTTTTTCCAGTATTGGTGATTGAACTCAAGACCTTGCACTTGCCAGGCAAGTATTTATTCTACTGAACTATCTCCCCAGCCCCTCTATGGTCTTTAAATAATTAGACAAATGCAGTTTGAATCCCTGCATTCTAACCCAATTTTAAAATATTCTCTGTAATAAGTTGTCTGCTAATATAGTTTATATAAACATCAACTATTAAATATAGAAACTGAATTATAAAAATAACTTAGGCTAAACTATTCTTTTTCTTTCTTGGTGCTATGAATTGAACCCAGGGCCTTGTGCATGCAAGGCAAGAACTCTACCACTGAGCCACATCCCCAGCCCTAGGCCACAGTATTCCAACACACCAAATTTACCCTTATGGAATTCCACATTTCACCAGGAGAAGCTGCACATTGTTACTATAAAACATCAACCAAAGTGAATGTCAGCAACTTCACATTCAGCATCTGTGTTACATTTCCACAGCAGAATGCCTAACATGTATTATTATAAACTATCATAAATCAAAACAGTAGAAGACAAAAATAAAAACTTACAGCTCCTTTGCAGTAAAGTCGTAACTTCCCAGATGGAGTACGAACAATCACTGACATTCTTTTCCTAGCACTGAAAGAAAGAGGTTTTCCACAATGTGTCATCATACTGGGGCTATGCATATATTTGCTTGTTACGCCTCACATATTTTAATGGTCACAGTGAAAAAATAAATTAGACAAAAATATAAGCTCTATCCTCCCACATACACAAACCATCCTCTGGTGAATAGCTGGGTACCCTTGAAAGTTACATTATGGCTTTTAACCCACCAGGGTACCATCAACTACCCTGGAGGAATAATTTACAAAACTGCTCCCTAGAAATGCACAAGAGTTAATACCCTCCAGAGCAGAGCCCTGCCCAATGATTTTAAGTATATTAAATGTAAATTATATATTTCATCAAATTTAAGCACAGAATCACACATGCTGGTAAGTACTAGTACTGTGAAAGACAATTTAGGTATTTACAACTATTGTTTTTCAAAGATTACATCAGTCCCCTTATCCGACAGGGGTACATTTTAAGACTCTCCGGTGGGTGTTTGAAACAAGAGATAGTACTGACCCCTATAGATCCTATATTTTTCTGTGCATATAGAACCATGACAATTTAATTTATAAATTGGACACAGTAAGAGACTAACAATTACTAATAATAATATAGAATGATTATTATGACATATGATAAAAGTTATTTAAAGCTTACAAATTGTTTATCTCTAAAACTTTCCATCTAATAATGTGGGAGTGCAGTAAACCTCAGGGATTTGCAACTGTGGAGAGTGAAGCCTCTGATAAGGCCAGTGACCCTACTTTAGAAGTTCATTTAACGGGGGCTCCTCTGATAGGGTTCATGACATCACTCTAACTCAGCCTTTGCTGTGTCATACCTTTCTTAATCAACTTTGGAACAATAGTCTCAAACTCATCAAGTTCCTTGCTGCTTGCTTCTCCTGGCAAAATCCCTAATGGGAAGGGGCACCCTCTTTGGTGGTTGGCAGATTAAGTGCACACTATGGAGAAGGCATTCAGTCATGGAGATTCGTAAAGACAGGACTGGTAGCGCTAGTGAGGTGCTCCACGCTGCACACCAACCCTCTGTATTGCTCTGAAGAATCTTGCTCCCTTACTCTCTGAAGACCACACAGCACACTTTTTCTATTTTTCAAATCTTCCATCCTTCTTCCTCAACTGGACCCTTTGCATTTTTGGAATTTATCTGGATGGAAGGAAGCCTTATCCATGAAATCCCCTTTCCTTTTGCCATTAAAAACCCTCCACGTCATTTATGCACGCACCATCTCCTTTAACTTTTCTCCTGACGTGGAGGAAGTATTTCTTCCCTTATCAGAGGCCCTCCCTTCATGGAGGTGTCTGTGGACCTTCCTCATTCCACATAAATCTCAGGGCCTTTGCAGTATAATTGTTCGGAAACCACGAATTGCTATAGTTTCGAATCTTAAACATCCAACACATACATAATATGCTCTTGAAGCCTTTTCCATGAGCAGTATTAGGGAAATGGTGGAACCTTATGAGATGCTACGTAAGAGGTGGCTCTCATGGGACATCTTAGTTCCCTGACGCTGTGCCCTGGAGAGGTCATTCTTGCTCTCCCTTCTGCTCCCTGGGCACAGGCGAGGAGTCTGCTGTGCCATCCTCTCTTGCTATGCTGTGCTGCCTTAGCATAGGCTCAGAACAGCCAGGTGATCATGCCCGGGACCTCCAAACTGGTAAGCGAAGGAAAAAAAAAAAGCCTTTCTCCTACTAAACTGGTTATCTCAAGTGTGCATTCCAGGAAAGTATCAGGAAGCTAACACACCAGCCCTCGGACTCCTGCTTTATACTCTCGACTTGTGCATCCGATACTCAAATTTCCAGCAGTTTTTAACTGCCACCAAAGACATACACTACAGTACTCTGAAGGAGGTTGTTTATGATCTATCTATAGAATGACAAGTATTTTAATTTAATATTTTTCCTAAGCAAAATTATTTAAAGAAAAACAAAGCATATTACAGTTATTTAAAAGGAAAAAAGTAAAAATGCATGGAAATTTATCTTATCCAGACAAATTACAGAGCTGATATCTTACCTGGTGAACTCCAGGACATTGAGCAGTTCATATCTTTCTTCCTGTCCCAGCTGTGAAAGAAAATAATACATGATCACATACAGTTGGAAATGCCTCAGGGTCCTTGGAAATGAACACTGATCATTTATTTTTAACTATAAAAGTGTCAACACAAACAACTGTTTTCTTCTAAAATATGGAAGATAACTTGTTAACTTTGAAGAAAATAGAAACGTTAAGTAAGATATGGGACAGAATCAAAAGAAATTCCAGGTGCCATAGAAACAGATCTTAGAATAATACCAACTAGACAGAAGGAAAGAGTTGCCAACAGAGAGACTGTCTAGGATGATGCTACTGCAGAACTGCACTAAGAAAGTATAGGGAAAAACTAGCAATGCAAAGAAAGTGAAGGGATTTTTGAAAAGGCAAAGGAGTTATTTTCAGGACATAAAGAGAAAAATTTATTTTTAGGAAATAATTTTGTGTTAGGAAACGTGCAATTTAAAAAAATTCTGTAATGCTAGCTGTGTATAGGTATACAAAACACAGCAAATATTTTTTAAATAAGATATCATGTATACATACTTAAACACATGCTGATCTTCACTGTACAGTTCAAAAAAAATTATACTGTTTGACAAAGGCATGTCTACCAAAACACCTCCTGCCCAACATTCCCAGAACCCTACAAATTCCCTTGTCTTGTTTTCCAGTGAATCTCCTCCTGACCCTGGGGCAGCCACTGTCCTGAATTCTATCATCTTGAAGTCTTTTAGCTCATTTCCAGCTGAATACAAATGAACCTAGAAAGGATGCACATTTTTGGGTCTGGATTTTTATTTCTGGGTCGATGTAGTTTTCCTGAGAATCTATTCTGTTAAGAACTCATTCCTTCTTAATGTTTAGATATTCCCACTGTAGGAATATTTCACAATTTGTTTATTCTCCTAATGATGAACATTTGGTTTGTTTCCAGTCTTCAGCAACTATGAATGAAGCTGCTATGAATATTCCATTACAAGTCTTGGTGGACGTAAACTTTGATTATTTCCACGTAACTGATTAGATCTGCTGAGTCAGGTATAAATTTATCTTTATTAGAAAACTCTTAAAAGGTTTCCCAGAGGGATTATACCACTGTATATATCTACTAGCAGTACTGGTTCTGATATTTTGATTATTGTCACTAACATTTGTTGTTGCTGATATTATAAGTTTTAGCATTCTTACTGCATGTACAGTAGTATGTCACTGTAGTTTTGCATTTCCTAGAGGACTAATAATGCTTTATCTTGAGCTTATTGGCCATCCAGATGTCATCTTTTGTGACATGTAAATCAAACTTTCCCATTAAAACACTGATCCTGAATACTTAATTCATCAAAAATAGCAATAGTTATAATAATGTTTGATATATGGAGAAAGAGAAGCAAAAGAAAGGATGACTTAATAAAAATAAGTCCTCATTTAACAGACTAGAACAGAAAATCAGTAGGTATGTATATTGCAGAACCAGTATATAATATCAAATTTTATTATCAATCACTCATCTTTGAAACTATGACATGTATAAATGCTTGAAGAAATAGACAAAAAGTAGAAAGTGAATACTTTTGGAGTAGGAAACTTGTACTTTTTTAGGAGCCTTCTGTTACCGCATTACCTCTGGATTAATTTAAGAACATATGTTACATTGATTAAAAATCAGCTTATAAATAACTTACAGAGTCTATAATGACCGAGTCAGGTGTTCTTCCGGTGAAAACAAAATTCAGCTGCTTGGCTGCTCTGACCAGCGCTCCCTCATCTGTTCCAAATGAAGAGGCAAAGCAAATACCATGGAAAAAAGCGATTTCAAATACAGGAGACATATATGCAGATAAGATAATTTTAATTACATTCTTTTCACTCTGGCAACTGTTGCAGAAATCCATAGGCCTAACAATTACATGACAATGCCAGAAGGATGAAGAGAAGGACGGGGATATGAGCCATATCTGGATCTCAGCATAATGTTTCTGAATAAGCAGTCATATCATCAGTAATATCTATCTGTCTGCCTACTCAGCTAGATCTATAAAATCCTTGTAAGGATAACGTAAGTGTATTCCTTAGTTCAGCATACTTGCCAGAAAACCTTTTTTTAAAAAAAGTTATTTATGGGCCCAGGGAGATAGCTCAGTAGAATAAGCATTTGCCTGGCAAGCACAAGGTTCTGAGTTCAACCCCCAGTACCGCAAAA